AGAACAGAACAGATATAAAATAAATTATATGAATGAAAAGTTGCAGTAGCGTATTGGTCGAGATGATGATAAACTTTCCTCTGCCCAAGTGCTTGAACTGGCCTGTAATTAAAGCTCAAAGTGCCATTGATCGTTCCGACCGATTTAAAAATACTTAACTGCAAAGAGAAGTAAGAAAATCTCAGGATGCCGATTAGTCAAATAACGATACTTCGATTCCAATTCGTACAACTGAGTCCTAAAATTTGAATACGCACCTGTCTCTCGGATATTGAAAGTTTCTCAGTAAGAATAAACCACATTACAGTTTCTTGACAGCCAGGGGTGGTTAAAGATCCCTCATAGTGATAATATGTAGTATGATCTTTTGGTAAAAAGAGTGAAGGTATAATTTTCGGTTCCATTAATTCTGTACTCTTTCCAATCCCGTTCGATATTGATTCTGTTGCTTTCAGTATTGGGATTATTGCCAAGTTGTCGTTTGTATTCAACTGGAATAATATTCCATAGTATTGACGTTATATTTGTGTTTAAAATTCATGAATAGTTGTGAAGCAAAGATTATAAAAATCTTATAGAAAAAAGATAGCATGTATGTGTTATATGTATATGATTATGCCTTGAATAAAACGGCGACAACAGCAATTCCGTTTTCATGTTGTGAAGCCACACTGGCGTTATCATATTTATTGTTATAATGAACAAAATGCAACTCTAGTGCATCGCGATTGTTATCTACAGTGTGCTCAGCAGGCCAATGGAAGTGAACTTGTTCTAAAATATACGTAGACGGTAAATTCGCTCCTTCAAGATGAATTGGTACACCATTTAATTTTATTTGTACTGCAACATATAACAATTATAAATAAATTATTCTTAAGAGAGATAATTGAAGACGTTATAAATACGAGCATTACAGTGTATACGTACACGATCGAATTACATATACTTGCTTTCCTAGTTGTTATTACTTACCAGAGTGTCCGTTATTTGTAATGTTGCCAGGAAATGCAAAATCATATCTTATGAATTTAAGTAAACCGAGATCAGCCTTTGTAGTAGTCTCGGTAGGAATATTTATTGGTGACTGTTTCGTTCCAGTTAGACATAATCCTGGCCAATGCGCTGGACCTAAGTCAAAACATATAAAGTTTCAATACATTTTTATACAACACACTCAGGAATTGCTAGATTTTCAGATCTAAGAAGCGCATTTATTTTTTCCCGACCGTTTTAAACAAAATTAAATGAATATTTATAAAATATCAAAGATATTTTACTAATTTCAATGTTTAAACTCTATTAAGTGCATTTCCGAAAACTATTATAAGATTACATGTAGGTATCTAAATTACCGTAAGTAATGTTAGTATGTTTCTCAGATACCTTATAATTTCTTTATTTGATTTTGTTCACCTCTTTATCTACTTAAATGTATAGGCATATCTAATAGATAAATAAAATTGTTCGGAATTATATAAGATTAGAAAGAAATATATACCATATTGACCCCAATACGACCAATCGTGTGCTGCTGTAACTGAAAATACAACTGAAACAAAATAAAAATTTCAACTGGGAGCTTACAAGTTCAACATAATTTCAGAATTTAGCAAAGTGGATAGACT